CACAGTCAAGGATCATCTCCAAGTCAGGGAACTGCCTTAATATTAGACTTTTGACATGACTACAGTCATTGCTTGGTCCCGGGTATTGATGAGGGCACCCCACGCAAAAAAGTTACCCCCATGTGCAGTGCGAGTGACCCTGTCCATACTGCCTGACGTAGCCCAAGAACCAGGTCGGCTTACAATCACGAGGAACATTCACCACTACCAGCCCAACAAATAATACAAAGTACATTTTATTTCTAGATCAAAGATGCCTCATATCTTTTTTTTTCAAATGCAGCCAACTAAAATGGCTTACATGATGTGCAAGCATATAAAAAATGAGTGCGCTGTACACTAAAAAAAACATAAACAATAATAAATCAAATAAATACTGCTACATAAAAAATGTGCATAAATTAATTGAAATTATATAAGTCCACATTCATATGTTAAATAATTAAAAGTCCCGAAATCCAATAACACAGTGCTGTGTGCTAAAGAAATCCTCCAACGGAAAGTGCATAGGTGTCCACAAATGCTTGACACAAAAGAAAAAAAATCAGCCTCTTACCAGACACTTTGATCTCCAATCATGAGATCAAACGAGCAGATGGCGTTCAGATCCACACTGACATCCTAGTTAGCTGTATCAAGGAGGATGAATGTAAGATGAATGGACGACTGCAGGTTCACTTAAATGAATCTATCACATCAAACAGCTCTCCACATCATGCAAGGAAAGGCTCAAAACAGAAGAAGAAATTGACGCGACAAACCAGCAAAAAATCTATTAAAGTATTGCACTTACATAGATAAGGTGCATAAAGGCAGTGTAAACATTTAAAATTCCCGCGGTGTCAGACCACCGGCCAGAACAAGGTGATGTCACAGAAAGCTCTGCCCAACGCGCGCTTCTCCAAAAATGGCGTCCTCTGGGATTGGCGAACAGTCTCATGATGTGCAAGCATGTCTTTGTAATATTTCTGTTTTGTGTCTCTAATTTATCTTTGTTTCTGGGTTAAAAAATGCCTCTGTGTATTTGAAGTTGACTTTTTTTAACTTTGTAGACAATACAGCGTGCTATTTAGCTTAGGCTGCATTCACAACTGAGCGCTTTGTGAACGCATGCAAAAGTGCTTTTATAAAACACGTGAAGCTTAATGCTCAAAAAAGTACATGAACTGTGTTGGCCCATTTGTCATGCATAGGACAACCCATTAAAATGTGCGTGTAGTGTGAACTCATGAAAAATACATTAAAAAGTTCACAAAAATGCCCATTCAGGAAATGCTAGGTGTGAGCCCAGCCTTAAAGATATCACATGCTATGCTATGAATAATGTTTTGCTGCTGTTTGGCATTTGTTACAAAGTTGAGGGATTTAGCTTAACATTATTTAAAAGTGTAAACCTTACCCCCAAGCTGTTGAACCCCTTATAAACATTTAGAGCCCCCCCCCCCTGCCCCTATGTATGGAGTCATCTACTTACAACAATGGCGATTATATCACCAAGCACGACAGAGTGAGAGAATAATTCTAAGGCCATCATTTACGGTTTGTTTTGCTACTTAGACCTAAAAATGAAGTTTTAATACCACTTTTAGTTACAGTAACCAAAATGTATTATTAAAATGTTTTAGGAGTTGTCATTTTAGGAAAGTGTATAAAACGCATAATTTAATTTCAATTATTAGTTTTTGGCTTTGGGGCCTTTATAACAATAATGTTTTCTGCATTTGAGAATCATAAAGTATCTGTGATTTCTAATGCTCTTAGAAAAAATGTGTTGAAGTATTAAGTCTTAACCGCAAGACATTTATTTATTTACTGTATGTTCTAAATTTATTTATTTACCTTTTTAACAATTTTATATTTCATTTTCATCTTCGATTTTTGATTTTCTTTGCAATTTCATTTGTTAAAGAATTAGGATGCCACCATTTATTTTCAGGACTTCTTAATTGTTATATTTTTTTTAATAATGCTTTGTTTCCTTATGTTCTTTTTTTTCTGTTTTGAAATTATTTTAGTAATAATTAATTGTCCATTTAAAGGTGAAACGAAGATACCATCTTTCATTGATGTGATATCCTCAAATTGTTGAAGAGTAAATCTTATCGATCACACCACATAGGTACGAAACATATGACTTAAGATATACCTGTAACAGTGGCGGACTGCTACCATTCGAGCACTCGGGCACTGCCCCTCCCGAGGGCACCGGGTCACGTGGCTTCATCAGGGTCAGTATGGGGCCCCATGAAATGCCCCTGTTATCATTTTTTTGCTTTGCTTTCATTTTTAAAGAATTAGGATTCCATTTATTTTGCTGTTTATATTTGGGCAAGGACACAGAGGCCCCATGATATTTCACCTATTGCCCGGGGGCCCCATGAGTTGTAATCTTACCGTCACCCCTGACCTGTAATCAAGTAATATTAGCTACACTTACCAAAGGTGTGAAATGCAGGCATCTATATACCACTTCAGCCTTTAGTACCACTTCATGGCCTTTATGGTTGCTGCTAAATTGTTGAAACAACAGTTTCAGTTGCTGTTTTTCCCAAGTTGCTTCCACTTTGTGCACAGCAACAGTGCGGAACAACAGCAACACAGCCGATGCAGCTGCATCCAAGCCTTACATCACCAAGTGCAATGCAAAGCATTGGATGCCGTGGTGTAAAGCACGCCGCCACTGGACTCTAGAGCTGTGGAGACGTGTTCTCTTGAGTGACCAATCATGCTTCTCTGTCTGGAAATCCGATGTGTCTGGGTTTGGCAGTTGCCAAAAGAACGGTACTTGCCTAACTGCACTGTGCCAAGTGTAAAGTTTGGTGGAGGGAGGATTATGGAGTGGGGTTGTTTTTCAGGGGTTGGGCTTGACCCCCTAGTTCCAGTGAAGGGAACTCTTAAGGTGTCAGCATGCCAAGACATTTTGGACAATGTCCAATATGGGCATGCCATTCTGATAGTTTGACATGCTCTGCTAGAGGCCTAGCTAGACCCAGGGCACTGGGTAGGAGATCCGAGGTATGTGCCTCAGGTACCTGGGTCCAATGGCACTTATGTTTTACAGCCATACAATAAATTGTAGCTCAAGAACATATTTAACCTGGTTCACCAGAGACTAGGGTGTACTTAAAGTGATTCTAAAGGCTTATTTTTTCTTAAAGAAAAAATAACAAACATGTCTATACTTACCTGCTGTGTGCAGTGGTTTTGCACAGAACAACCCAGATCCTCCTCTTCTTGGGTCTTCTGCCAACACTCCTGGCCCCTCCCTCCTGTCAGGTGCCCCCGCAGCAAGCAGCTTGCTATGAGGACACCCACTGCTCCGTGCGTCCATTCACACACAGAGCCACGGCTCGACCCTGCCCCCTCTCATTTCTCATTGGCTCACTGGCTGTGATTGACAGCAGTGGGAGCCAATGGCTCCTGCTTCTGTCTCAGCCAATCAGAATAGGGAGTCCTGGGATAGTAAGGAACAGTGCACATTGTTGAATCAAGAGGCGGCTTAGGTGAGTATTAGGCGGGGCTGCTGCACAGAGAAGGTTTTTTACCTTCATGCATAGAATACATGAAGGTAAAAAACCTTGAGCCTTTAGAACCACTTTAAACACCACTGTTGTTCTGCATGAATGCACCATCTTCATGATATGTACAAACTACAAAAAACACCCTTTTTATAAGACTGGAGAGACATTGTGCAGAATTCTAATACAGGTGTGTGGGGCGAGGAATCTGTGACAGTACAATTTGCATACTTCCTATTTTACATACAGGAACTCTGAGCTTATTTCCCTTTAGACTTCATATGATATAAACTCCGTATTCTGGAAACCAATGATCTGTTTGTGTGACAGTCCTGACACATCAAGATGGTCCCTCTGCCATATCTGCTCTGTGTCCTTTATCTTTATGCAAAAGGTAAAGAAAATGTATGATCACTGAATGATTTCTTTAAAAATCCTTTTATTTTACCAGTCCTTATCTTTTTGTAACAATATTAGAATCATAGAATATTTTGTATATGGAAAAGGTCAGAAAATGTATGATCTCTGGATGATTGTTCTAAAATCCCTTCTTTATTTTACCAATCCCCATCTTTTTGTAACAATGTTAGAATCTCATAATATTTCTATGTTTTAATTGCAGCTAATTAAAATTCTTTTTTGTTTCCCAAGCCTCTTATGGAGAGATTGTGATGACGCAGACTCCAAAACATATCTCAGCGTCTCCAGGAGAGAAAGTTCAGATAAACTGTAATCAAATTCTGATGTCACTTACTCAGATGGTGACAGTCTAATATATTGGTTCCAAAAGAAAGCTGATCAACCCCCAAAATGTCTTATTTATTGGGCAACCAATCGCCAGTCTGGAGTCCCGGACAGATTCAGTGGCAGTAGATCTGGAACTCCGCATGATTATTTCACTCTTACAATCAATGGGGCTCTGGCAGAAGATGAAGCCGAGTATTACTGTATGCAGGGAAAGAGCTTTCCCGCTCACACAGTGATACAACGCCGTACAAAAAACCTCCTTCCTCTTTTATATAGTTGGTGTATCTGAGTCTACAGACAAGACATGATTGTATTATTACAAATTGTATTAATTAAAAAAAAAAGAAGCATCACCTATTTGATAAGCTTAGCTGTCAGCATGACCTAGCCATATCCACTAATTGGAAAGTCCAACACTAACTGTGGTGCAGTTTGTACAGTGCCAAGCCGTCATTTCTAGTCCAATGCTGCCTGTATAGTTCCAGGCTGTCACCCACCACAAGACCCGGGCGTTGTTGAGGTGGACTCATAGGACCTGTGCAGCTTGCCTCATGTAAGTGAACAATTCAGCTCCCACTGTCCAGCAGTAAACAAGGTACAAACCACTAACTACCAACGACAGGGGTAATTACCACCAATAATAGGGTCACAAACCAATTAAATGCATACTGTAGACACTTACTGAAGAACACCAATGTAATATAGGGGCACTGAACACCATTGTAATAACGGATACAGACCACTGATCACCAGTGTAAGGGGCACTTATATCCAACTACTACTGCATTTCATAGTCCTGATTCTTGCACTTTGTATGTGGCATAATCTTGATCCCTGTATTCTATACACTGTGTTGTCTGTTGCATAGTCCTGATTGCTGCACTATATTCCTTGTTGTATATTAATACTGACTGTTGCACACATTGCCATGTTGTTTTTTTTGTTTTTTAATTTTTTTTTTTTTTTTTTTTTTTTTTATGCCATTTTTGTATTTTTTTAGTTTCCACTGCATAGGCTATTGGTTTATTGTATAGTCCTGACACCTGCACTCTAACCCTATGTTGGATATTGCATATTTTTGACCCCTGCACTTTTAAATGCAATGGGGAACTTTAAATACATTTACTGAACAAAGTATTCATTGTCTCAACAGTTTTTTGGTTGTTGTATTGACTCCAATAGTTTCAGTGAATCTTAGTGTGTACAAAGCAAACATTAGAATGGTCTCCTAAAAAAAAATCCTTTTCTCCTGAGGTTTATGTGTGTCTGCTTGTGACAGAAAAATATCTATTTTGTGGGTAGAAAGACTGTGCAGTGTATACAGTATAGCAAGTGGGCTCAGGTTCTCTTTAGCTATTTCCGCTTTAAAGCGGAGTTCCGCCCCCCCCCCCCAAAAAAAAAAATTAAGTCAGCAGCTACAAGTACTGTAGCTGCTGATCTGACTAAGGGATTTAATTTCAGGGCACTTACCTGTCCAGGGATCCAGCGGTATCCTTACCCCAAGCCGATTCTTCAATCAGCTGTTGGGTGCTGGTGCCACCATCTTTGACTAAGGGAAACTGGCATGTGCAAAGCGCACTGCGCTTTGAGAATGGGCCATGGCGAACTCAGCCGGAAATAGGAGCAGGTATCCGTCAAAACCAGGTAGACGCTCCCCCCCAAAAGGTGCAAAATGTAACAATGGGGGGGGGGGAGGCAGATAAGTGGAGCTTCCGCTTTTGGGTGGAACTCCGCTTTAAGTCACTCAGCAAATAGATGTGATATGTAGGATACAGATTCTTCTCAAGAAAAAGCAATCAAAAGGAACAAATAATGTGGAGGACCCTCTAAATAGCTAAGTTTATTGTATTCCTAGCCAGAGGCTGAGTAGCAGCCTGGGAGTGAGGTAGTGGGTTCGCCTCAGGACATGTCTTTTTTTTTTTTTTTTTTTTGAGCCAAAAATGGGGAGGCTCTACATGTCAGGGCTTCTGGAGCCAAAAACTCAGGAGAATGTTCTGTAAGAGAGGTGGAGGAGGAAAGGAGGCCTGGATCTGCATGTTTAAGGGACTTTGGCCAATCCCTGGCAGGAGGCCGGGAATGGGGACCAAGGACAACCCTTAAATGTGGCAGAGCCTGGGGAGTGGATGATGGACTGAGAGGCTGGAGTGTGGAGCCTGAGAGGGGCCCCAGGGATGGGGGCCTACCTACAGGCTGGTTGCTGGACAGAAGGATCTCCAGTGTTCCACCATCTCCTAGGGAGGAAAACTTGTATGCCGGGAGGAGCCCAGTGAAATGTCTGAAAGCAGCTTTGACCCACCAAGCTAACAGGACAGGACAGTGTGGATGCTTCTACACCCTCTAGGCCAGATAAGGGGGGAGAGCGGTAAGGTGCAATACACAAATGATTTTCTCAGGACTGCTTGATTGCCAGCGTGGGAGCAGCTTTGGGACATCTTGCCCAGGGATACCCTCATTGCAGCTGGGTGAGGAGGAAGATTCATCCAGGGTCTGAGGAGGTACACCAAGGGGACTTTAGTACTCCTTAACAGAGAATTATGCTATTTTTTGCTAATTTTTTTTTTTGACGTCTTTTGACAGCTCTTTGGTCCTGCCCATGGTGGTGAGGTTTGAATGGAAGAAGAAGATTCTGTGGACAGGTGTCTTTTATACACATAACAAGCTATCGTTAGGAGCACCTTCTTAAATTGACATGACTAATCTGTGTACCTCGTGAGCCAGTCTGTGGGAGCCAGAATTATTGTTTGGGTAGGTGATCAAATACTTATTTTACTCACTGAACTGCAACTCAATTTATAACATTTATATAATGTTTTTTTTTTTTCGGTTGATATTCTGTCTCTATCATTTAAAATGCACCAAAGATAAAAATGATAGACCCTTCATTTCTTTGTAAGTGGGCAAATGTACAAAATCATATATTCGATCAAATAATTTTTTTCCCCACTGTATATAACGTATGTAACACCCTTGCTGTAATGTCAGCTGCAGGATGTTAAAACCAACACAAGATGTTAGTGTCCTGCAAATTCAGTGGCAGTCACATTTAGCCCCATGGATCTTGCATGCTGAATTTTTTTTTTTTTTTTTAGCCTCACCTTTTCACCAGAATTTTTTTTTTTTTTCCTCCTTGAGTTTTTCTTAAAGACTCTTTTAACCAAAAAAAAGACATTCTCAAAACTTTGCTGAAGCGCCTTACAGTTTCCAATTAGTAGTTAGTTAGCCAGAGTCAGGGCTATGTTGTTCTTTGCTTGTTTCTTCCCACTGTTCTGCAGGTATTCCCCAGATGGCTGTCTTCTCCTGCTTAAGAAAAGGAAATATTTTTGTTGCTGATGAAGAGCTTCGCTCCAGGAGGAGAAGTTTCATTTTCAAATGCACCTACAGATGAAACTCAAAAAATTAGGATATTGTGCAAAAGTTCATTTATTTCAGTAATGCAACTTAAAAGGTGAAACTAATATATGAGATAGACTCATTACATGCAAAGCAAGATAGTTCAAGCCGTGATTTGTCATCATTGTGATGATTATGGCTTACAGCTCATGAAAACCCCAAATCCACAATCTCAGAAAATTAGAATATTACACGTAATCAATAAAACAAGGATTGTACATAGAACAATATCGGACCTCTGAAAAGTATAAGCATGCATATGTACTCAGTACTTGGTTTGGGCCCCTTTTGCAGCAATTACTGCCTCAATGTGGCGTGGCATGGAAGCTATCAGCCTGTGGCACTGCTGAGGTGTTATGGAAGACCAGGATGCTTCAATAGCGACCTTCAGCTCTTCTGCATTGTTCAGTCTCATGTCTCTCATCTTTCTCTTGGCAATAACCCATAGATTCTCTATAGGGTTCAGGTCAGGTGAGTTTGCTGGCCAATCAAGCACAGTAATCCCACAGTCATTGAACAAGGTTTTGGTGCTTTTGGCAGTGTGGGCAGGTGCCAAGTCTTGCTGGAAAATGAAGTCAGCATCCCCATAAAGCTCGTCTGCGGAAGGAAGCATGAAGTGCTCCAAAATCTCCTGGTAGATGGCCGCGTTGACCCTGGACTTAATGAAGCACAGTGGACCAACACCAGCAGATGACATGGCTCCCCAAATCAACACAGACTGTGGAAACTTCACACTGGACTTCAAGCATCTTGCAGTGTGTGCCTCTCCATTCTTCCTCCATACTCGGGGTCCTTGGTTTCCAAATGAGATGCAAAAGTTGCTCTCATCAGAAAAGAGGACTTTGGACCACTGAGCAACACACCAGGTCTGTTTTTCTTTAGCCCAGGTAAGACGCTTCTGACATTGTTTGTTGTTCAGGAGGGCCTTGACAAGAGGAATACAACATTTGAAGCCCATGTCCAGGACTTGGCACCTGCCCACACTGCCAAAAGCACCAAAACCTGGTTCAATGACTGTGGGATTACTGTGTTTGATTAGCCGGCAAACTCGCCTGACCTGAACCCCATAGAGAATCTATGGGGCATTGCCAAGAGAAAGATGAGAGACATGAGACCGAACAATGCAGAAGAGCTGAAGGCCGCTATTGAAGCATCCTGGTCTTCCATAACACCTCAGCAGTGCCAGAGGCTGATAGCTTCCATCCCACGCCGCATTGAGGCAGTAATTGCTGCAAAAGGGGCCCAAACCAAGTACTGAGTACATATGCTTGCTTATACTTTTCAGAGGTCCGATATTGTTCTATGTACAATCCTTGTTTTATTGATTGCATGTAATATTCTAATTTTCTGAGATTGTGGATTTGGGGGTTTCATGAGCTGTAAGCCATAATCATCACAATGATGACAAATCACGGCTTGAACTATCTTGCTTTGCATGTAATGAGTCTATCTCATATATTAGTTTCACCTTTTAAGTTGCATTACTAAAATAAATGAACTTTTGCACGATATTCTAATTTTTCCAGTTTCACCTATGTATGTATGTATGTATGTGTGTGTATATATGTATACAGTATATGTTTATGTGTATATGTGTATATGTATATATATATATATGTATGTTTTATGTGTGGTGTTTTTGTTTATTTTCCTGCTGTTAGCTTTAGACAGCTTTAGTCAGGATGTATATATGTTTCTCATGTAAATATGTACATTGCATATATTTGTATATTTTTCTACAAGTATTTATTTGTACATATCCCTCCTCCAAGTTTCTTTCTTTTCCTCTCCATTTTTCTGCATGGGATGACCCATTCCCCTTGCCCAGGGAATACCCTCAGGCAGCTGGGTGAAGAGGAGCATTCAGCTGAGGTCAAAGGAAGTACACCAGAAGGGATGGAGAGCTCTTCAAAGGAGAAACGTTTTGTCTACAGACTTGTACACAGTTGCTAAGGAGTTTGTCCTCACGTTTACTGTTTCCTTGAGCATCCCATGCACCCCTCAACCCCATTCAAGTTCTAAAACTCCTAATAAAAGCTCAAAACCAAGCTCAAGGACTGTTTACTGTCTCAGAATGCAAAGTGTGAAAGTAAATGTGTGTTACCTGGCTGTGCAGAGCTTTAGGGGGACCCATAACTCAGCAGGGTCTAAGGGGGTAGTGCTACATTCTTTTGGATTTTCTCTGTTTACATTATCTTATAAATTTGTGAATATTCATTTTTTTTAAATATATATTTCTTTATGTTATTTTTATCTATTTTGTAATATTTTAGTAATAATTAATTGTCTATTTAAAGGCACAAATATATCATCTTTCATTACTGTGATTTCCCAAAATTTTTGAAGTGCTAATCCTAAGGACATCATGCTGATGAAACACATTGGGCGGAGCTTCCTTATGCCTTCTGCGTCATTTCTAGTTGTGCCTTTCCAGACCGTGAAACACAGGAGCGCCCTGGCCATACTGAAAAGTGCTGTTGCATGCATCTATTGTACACCTATAAGGAGTATTTAAAGACCTAGAGGAGAAATCCCTGAGCGCTTTTTGACCTGCTTAGTACATAAGGGGTCATGGATGGATGGTGAGTGCGGTGTTCAAAAGGGAAGCAAAGGAACACAGACAACGGAGTGGAAGCTACACTTTAATTTCAGCAATAAGCACCTAGGCACTTTTTTGGCACTTTTATGGATTTTTTTATGTTGCACATAATTATATGAATTTTTGTTATGCCCTAAGCACTGAATTATGTATATATGGGAAAGAAGATTTCTTTATAATTGCACAGATAATATATTGCATTGTGTATCAGTGATAATACTAGTAGGGGAGTTCACTGTAGTACCAGATTGGTTTTGAATAATTTGCACATTGGTATTCATACTTGCATTGTAGATAAATATGATCACCATGGAAGGAGGTGTATTGTAGCACCGTACCAACATATGCATTTTCCATTAAGTTATATCTTTTTTTGATATTTGTAATTGGGGTAGAGGCTGCTGCTTATTAGAATACAAAAACGTACCGTAGCGCAGGATTTATTCTCTATAGTGATTTAAAGTATACCAGTAATCAAGTAATGTAAGCTAAGGTAACCAAAGGTGTTAAATGCAGGCGTCCATAGGTCAGTATTCTTTTGCGCATATTCTAAGACTCCATTCACACCTGAGTGCTTTCGAAAACAGTTTAAAAAAGTGCTAAGCTCAATGTGCAAAAAGCTGCATTAGCTATTTTGACACATTTGTCATATGTAGAGGAGCCCACTGAAATTAAGGGGCTGCCCTATGTGCAAAGTGAGAAAGCACACATATGGTGCACATCAACGTGACACATTTTTCTGCACATTCTCAGAATGCCTAGTTGTGAATGCAGCCTAAAACACAAGTAAAAGCTTCATCTCCTGGAGTTGATGGTAAGTTCCACCCTCTTCCACCTTCTCTGTCTTTTTTGTTTGGTCATTGAGGTCAACCATCATACTGAGTAACCAACATCAAGGTACAGGAGGTTAGATGAGGTGGAACCATCCCAGCCATAATCCCAGCAGTGCTGGAAAGTAAAATGATAATTTCATGTGCAGTTCAATTCTGTGACTAAGTTCAGTGAAATAAAATATGAACACTGAAAAATGAACACAACAAATTATTTCCTAAAATAATTATTTCCAAAAAATGTCAAGAGAAAGAAAGTAACTAGTAAATCCCTGTCTGATGTTTTATCAAAAATGTTTTTCTGCAGTTTGCTATTGTGCCATTATATACAGCATATGATAGTACATTAGTTGGTTTGTTCTGAAGCTGTGTGATTTAAAAATAGGAGATGCTTCTTTTTTTTTTCTTCTTTTAAACTAATTACATATTTATGGTAATAATAAAATCATGTCTTGTCTATGTAGACTCAGATACACTAACTATATAAAAGGAGGTTTTTGTACAGCTCTGTATCACTGTGTGAGAGGGAAGCTCTTGCTCTGCATACAGTAATATTAGGCTTCATCTTCTGCCAGAGTTCCTTTGATTTGTAAGAGTGAGATCCAGATCTACTGCCACACTGAACCTGTCTGGGACCCCAGAATGGCAATTGGTTGCGTGATAGATAAGATGGCTTTGGGGTTGATCAGCTTTCTTTTGGAACCAATATATTAGACTGTCACCATGTGAGTAAGCGACATCAGAACTTGATTTCCAGTTTATCTGAACTTTCTCTCCTGGAGACACTGAGATATATTTTGGAGTCTGCGTCATCACAATCTCTCCATAAGAGGCTTGGGACACAAAGAAGAATTATAATTAGCTGTAATTAAACCATATAGATTCTAATATTGTTACAAAAAGATAAGGACTGGTAAAATAAAAGGATTTTAAAACAATCATCCAGTGATCATAAATTTTCTGTACCTTTTGTATAAAGATAAAGGACACAGCCAGGGGCGGACTGACAACTCATGGGGCCCCCAGGCAATAGGGGATCATGGGGCCCCTGTGTCCTTGCCCAAACTCAAAAAAGCCTATGAAAAAGGTATCAGGGGCGTCTCATGGGGCCCCCTACTGACCCCGGGCCCTCGGGCAGTGCCCGAGTTTCCAAATGGTTAGCCCGCCCCTGGACACAGCAGATATGGCAGGGGGACCATCTTGATGTGTCAGGACTGATATACAGTACAAACAGATCGTTGGTTTCCAGAATACGGAGTTTATATCATATGAAGTCTGAAGGGAAATAAGCTCAGAGTTTTTGTATGTAAAATAGGAAGTATGCAGATTGTACTGTAACAGATTCCTCGCCCCACACCTTGTATTATAATTCTCCACAATGTATCTCCAGTCTTATAAAAAGGGTGTTTTTTGTAGTTTGTACATTGTGTGAAGATGGTGCATTCACTCTAGACAACAGTGATGGTTAAAGTGTTATTAAAGCTTCGTTTTTTTAAAATGAAATAACAAATATGTCTTTACTTACTGGCTCTGTGCAATGGTTTTGCACAGAGCAGCCCCGATCCTCCTCTTCTGTGGTCCCCCACTGGCGCTCCAGGCTCCTTATCCTCGGCAGGTGCCCCCACAGAAAGCTGCTCACTTCTGAGCCGCCCTGTCTGCGTCTATTGACATAGACTGGGTGGCTCGGCCCCTGCCCCCTGGTCTCATGTCACAGCATTTGATTCACATCACTGGATCGGATCGTGCTCAGGTTAGAAAAAGGGGTGGGGGCTGGAACTGCAGCACAGAAGGCTTTTTCACTTTACTGCATATATAACGCATTAAGGTAAAAAACCTTAAAGGAGAAGTACAGCCAAAGCTCTTTATGCTCTACTTCTCCTGTGGACCACAGGAGTGCAGTTTGTTCTACACTCCTGTGATCCATTTTCAGCTGACAGCGGGCTGAAGCCAGCTGTTAGCTGACATCACTGACATCACTCAGCCAGTCCAGGCTGGGGAAAGATCCTGATCCACTGCGAGTCTGAGCCAGCCACTCCCCTCCCCCTCCAGCGATGGCACTGGCACTGAGAGCCTGAGCCAGCCGCTCCCTCCTCCTCCAGCAGTGATGGCACTGGCACTGGGAGCCTGATCCAGCAGCTCCCTCCTCCTCTAGCGATGACACTGGCACTGCGAGCCTGAGCCAGCCACTCCCTCCCCCTCCAGCGATGGCACTGAGAGCCTGAGCCAGCTGCTCCCTCCTCCTCCAGCAGCGATGACACTGGCACTGAGAGCCTGATCCAGCAGCTCCCTCCTCCTCCAGCGATGACACTGGCACTGAGAGCCTGAGCCAGCCGCTCCCTCCTCCTCCAGCAGCGATGACACTGGCACTGGCACTGAGAGCCTGATCCAGCAGCTCCCTCCTCCTCCAGCGATGACACTGGCACTGAGAGCCTGAGCCAGCCGCTCCCTCCTCCTCCAGCAATGACTTGCACCACTTTCTACTAGAGTGGCTGTGAGAACTCAGCAATCAGCAGTCATGTGATAGCTGAGTTCTCACACTTAGAGCTGGCGGGGGACAGAAGCAGCATCGGACTGGCGCTGCATCTACCTACGTAAATAGGATTTGAAAAAATAAAATCCCATACTTCTCTTTTAAGGCTTTAGAACCACTTTAAGAACACCTGAAATAGCTGAAATTGGCTCTTGAGCTACAATTTATTGTATGGCTGTAAAGCATAGACGTCTTTTGCCCAGTGCCCCAGGTCTAGCTAGAACTCTAGCAGAACATATCCCTCTGACTCTTGAAACAACATGAAGACCTGAGATTTGGGAGGTGGATGTATAGGAGCTGTGCAGCTTTTCTTAGGTAAGTAAACCATTATGCTCCCACTGACCAGCAACAAGGGGGTACAAAACACTAACTACCATCGACATGGGTAATGACCACCAATAAAAGGGCCACAGGCCAATGAACTGTAATTAGAGACACTGACTGAAGAGCACCGATGTATAAGGGAAAATGATCGCCAATGTATTAAGGGGCACTGAGCGTCAGAATAAGGAGCACTTACTCCTGACTGTTGCACTTCATAGTCTTGATGAAAAATTCTTTGTTGTATGTTGCATAATCCTGACCCCTGTATTCTATACATTTTGGTATCTATTACATAGTCCTGGCAGCTGCACCATATATGCTATGTTTTAGGCTACCAATTCCTGACTCCTGCACTTCATACACCATGTTTTACATTACCTAGTCCCAACTGCTGAACTGTATGTGCTATGTTGTAGGTTACATACTGTAGTCCTGATTGCTGCACTCTATACACCATGTTGTACATTACTTAGTATTGATTGTTGCACATCATATGCCATGGCTTATGTTTGAACCCATTTCTGACGGAGGGTAAAGCAAATGTTAATGCCTGAACACAATTTTGCAACTTTGACCTGTGTTAGTAAAACTGTACATATCATTGCAGCTACTGTGGATACCTAGTTGGATTATAACTTGTTTTTTTTCCGGACACATTTGGCTAGCTGTTGGTTGCAAATGTTAAAGAAAATCTCCTGTTTTTTTTTTTTTTTTATTGAAAGGAAAACTGGGCCAAAACAGTAAAAAAAAGTTTTTTTTTTAAATTTAGCTGGGTATTTCTTGCTATTACAATGACTTACAACCAAAGAACAACCTTAAAAAAATTCTGTTGTTCCTGATAAGTGTAGAGATGCCATATATGTGTTTGTGATTTGTTGTTTGTACCCGTAGTAGGGCCCAGAAACAATGGTGCACATTTTTCTTTTGTTTATCCTACCTAAAAACAATGACATTAACTAAAAAATGTTTTTTTTTAATTCTACCCAAAATATACTGACCTGATCTTTGACCCTTACGTTACCCTTACACTACCCTGGCACTGACCTTGCTCAAACCCTGATTTGATTATTTTTTTCTGTTTTTTTTTTTTTTTTTTTTTTTTTTTTTTTTACACACTTTTGTTGGTTGACAATTTTTGTCCACTGCAAAGAAAGAGGAAAAAAAAAACACAGTGACTTATCACTGTGATAGCCAATCAGAGCTATCACAGCATTCAGGTGACTGGGAACTGGGAGTCCCAGATCCCAATTGTTAGTAAGAGACCCGAGAAACACGCTGCAAGAACAAAAATAGGTACGCATATATGCAGCCTCATGGATAAAGATCCACTTCTGTGGCTGCATATGTGTAATGTTGGCTAAAGTGATTAAAATGGTTGTAAAGGCTCGAGATTTTTTACCTTTATGCATTCTTTGCATAAAGGTAAAAAACAACCTTCTGTTTGCAGCAGTGCCCCCATCCCCCTCAATAGTTACCTGAGCCCCATCACGGTCCAGCAATGTGCATAACAGCCTTTGCTGTCTTGAGTTTCTGCCTTTTCGTTGGCTCCCGTTGCTGTCAATCATGGCCAGTCATCCAATGAGGGAGAGAGGGGGGGTGTGGCCAAGCCACAGCTTTGTGTGTGAATGGACACACAAGCAGCGAGTGACCCCATAGCAAGCTGCTTGCTGTGGGGGCACCCAAACAGAAAAGAGGAGCCTGGAGAGCCTGCGGGGGACCCCAGAAGAGCAGGATCCAGGCTGCTCTGTGCAAAACCACTGCACACAGCAGGTATGTGTCACGGTATAGGGGCTCGGCCAATTATTAATTCCTGCTTAACCCTCTCATTAATGTCCCCAATTATTAATTCCCTCATTTATCCCTTGTGTCTAGAGGAAGTGCATCCTCCAATTAGTATTTGAACTCCTGTGTGCAAAAGGCCCCTAGCTGTAATTAACGCGCCCCCTCTACAAAAGGTTCCAAATTCAATTAGTGTATCCTCCCCATTGTTATCCCGTTTACAGCTACAAATCCAATTATTGTGTTTCCTTGTCCATCCTGTCTTGTGCCCAGATGTCCTACATCCCTAATTAGTGCCTTACTTTTGTATTAATGTATTCTCCCCACTGTTATCTTGTTTACAGCTGCAAATTCAATTATTGTGTTTCCTTGTCCATCCTGTCCAACCAGTCTTTTGCCTAAATATAATATCCGCCCCACTGTCCTCCTGTTTACAGCTACAAATTCAATTACTGTATTCCTGTTCCTGTCCATTCTCTCCATTGTCATCCAAAATGTCCCAAAACTCAATTAAGGCAGTCCCTCCATTGTCATCTTGCTAATGACCCCCCTCCACCTCTGGCCCTGCTCAGGGGGTTTAAAAGATCAGTGCTGGTCTCTCCTGAAGAGCCATTCTGCTGTGCAGCCACTGAGAGATCTAGCTGTGGCTCGGCTCTAGTGGCCCAGGCTCTGCCTGGGACCCCCAAGCCTAGGGGGAAGATCGTCTGCCCCTACCTGAGACCCCAAGCTGAGGGGAAACTGCCTGCCAGCTAACTGAGACCCCCCAGACCAGGGGTAGATTGCTTGCCTGTTGCCCATGACCCCTGCCCAGGGGTAGGTTGCCCGCCTGTTGCCCGAGACCCTTGTCCAGGGGTAGGTTGCCACCTGTTGCCCGAGACCCCTGCCCAGGGGTAGGTTGCTGTCTGTTGCCTGAGACCCCTGTCCAGGGGTAGGTTGCCGCCTGTTGCCTGAGACCCCTGCCCAGGGGTAGGTTGCCGCCTGTTGCCCAAGACCCCAGTCCACTGTGCAGTCATGGAGGGAGCCCAGCTGAGGCGGGAACCTCGTGACCAGGCTCTGTCCTGGGACCCCCCAAGCCTAGGGGGGAGATCAC